GTGGCTGTGGCCACATGTGTTGCAGGTGGTGTGGGGCACTCGGCAGACACCCTAACAGTCTGTGATTTCCATCTCCTCCCTTCCAAGGGGCCCTCAGCCAGGACAACCACCTGCAAGGTAAGCAGGGGCAGGAATCACTGCCCCCCTTTTCACATGGGTACCAGGAGGGGCTCCTTATCATGTCCCCCTTCCCAGCTACCGGGTTTCTGGGACACTTCCCACCTCGCCCTCCTGCCTTCCTCAGGACATGCAGAGGCCCTGGAAGGCACTGATGCAAATAGTGCTCGATTTTCTGGGCTAAAATTACATCTTGAGTCAATTTTCATAAGATGTGGTGACAGATTTAGGTGCTGGGAAGATGGAGCTTTCTCAGAAGGCATAAGAATGACCTAAACAGTTAAAACCAGCTGAAGCCCGGCAGCCAGGGGCCACGGAGCAGCTTTCATCCTTCTGGGATCAGCTCATCTGCAGCCTGGTGCAAATTCATGTCTGGAGAAACTGCTGTGCCTGCACTTGACTCCTCCGATCATGGGATTATTATCTCTCAGCCAAGATTCTGGTACCAAAGAGGTGATTTACTTGCAAAGGGAGAAACTAGTAGGTGGGGTGGTGGGATTTGGCTTTTTATTTGCAAGGGCAGTCTTCCTTCCCGAGGTAGCTCCCTAGACACTGATCTCCGCCTATCTTCTTTCCCTTCTTCTCTCCTTCCTTCCTCCCTCCCTCCTTCTCTTCCTTACTTCCTTCTTTGCCTCCCTCCTTCCTTTTTTAGAGATAGGGTCTTATTATGTTGCACAAGCTGGTCTCAGACTTCTAACCTCAAGAGATCCTCCTGCCTCAGCCTTCTGACCAGCTGGGATTTTTCTTTAAATTCTCCAATCCTGATATTTTCCTCTGTGGGTCACATAGAGAATCAAGCAAGGAAGTAGGGCTTCTCCCTCCCATCCCCAGTATGTTTCAATGCATCTTCCCTTCTCCAGAAGTAGCTCTGTCACTTTCACTCCTAGAGTCCGGGCATGGGTCCTGATCACCTCTCATAAACAGGGTCAGTCTCATGATCTCTAAGGATCCTGTGATGCCAGCTGTCCTTAGCCTGACATCCATGAACTCCCTTCTGCCTGCTCTTTCTATATCTGGCCAGCCTCAAACTCTAAAAGCCAGCCATGCTCATCTGTTCGCTGTCTGTGTGGGAAAGTCTCCATTTGCCCCTCTGGTTCCGCTCCCAACCTTGTCCACACTGCTCTATGCCCAGGGAGGCTGACCTAAGTGGACGGCATCACTGTTCCCTGGCCACAGGTCTTCTAGTGAGGTTCCACCAATGGGAGGCAGTTGCAGGAGATCAGAGGGTGGGATCTCTTTACTCCTGGTAAAGTTGCCTGGGTTGGCTGTGTCCCTCCACTTAGTCCCCTGCTTTTATCTAGAAGCCCCCCCTGGGGCTCCAGAAATCCTCTCCCTCCCTTACCTCTCCAGGCCTAGAGTAATAATGGCTTCCCACTATTACTACATGTAATTCAACATTCCTCACCAATTTCCTTAAACTCCACTCACCCCTTTATTATATCCCCCAACAATGCAGGATCTAGGCTGTCTTGCTTGCTCCCTCTCTGCCACCACTCTTGCTCCCAGGCCCCCTGTGCTCTGTCTTTAAGCTTCACCTAAACCCAATTTGACTCAGTTCCTCCTGGAAGACACCCCTATCATCCTGGGGTCTAGCACCCTGATTCTGTAGCCTGAGGCCGATCCTGCCTTCTCTGTAGAACAAAAAGAGGCTGAGTCAGATGATCCCTAAAGTTCCTTCTGACCCCGACCCTCTGCCCTGTCATGTGACCCTTAGGCAGATGGCTTGCGTTTAGATCCAAACTCCATTTAAAAAATCCAAATGACCTGTCACAACGCTTTAGCTGAATGTGGCCTTCTGGCTATAACTCTCCCTTTCTTAAACTCCCATTTTATTCCACCCTTCTTACTATTTCCTGTAAGGATTGATTTCACACATGCATCTACCCTTCCCGGGTTTTGGTGAATCTCTGTTCCTCTGACTATCTCTCCTTATTCTCCAGCCAGGCACTTCATAAACGCTCACCATTGCAAATACTGACTGAAATGGGGGAGTGACCAGTAAGGCCCCAAACCTTGGATGATGCCCTATACTGAATGATATCCACTGAGCATTCATTGCTCCCAGGCACTTTGTCTCCATTATCTTGTTTCTCCCTCACCACAGGTCTATAAATTAGGAGTAACCCCCAGATGACAGATGTGGAAACAGCTACAGAGAGGTGAAGGAACTTGCTGTAGGCCCCACCTCCAGGGATGCTAGAGCCAGGAGCCAAGCCCAGGAGTGTTCACATCCAGTCCACCATCTTCCCTCCCCTCTACCCTGCAGGTACCAGCAGTAACAAGATGCAGCCTGCACAATCAGGGGCCCTGAACCAAATGGAGACAAGCCTCAATGATAGAATGTAATCAAACGGCTCGCCAAGCAGTGCCCTTCTGAAGAGGCCCTTCCAGACTTCCCTTAATGAATCACTAAGACATCCGCACATTCCTGGTTTCTATGAAGCGCAGCCAAAAGGCCTCAAAAGTAATTAGTTCACTTAAGTAGGCTAAACGTTCCCCTAGCAATCTGGTTTATGCGTTAATTGTTTTAGAATCTCGGAGAGGGTGAAAAAGTAAACTTTCATCGAGCCCCCGTGGAAATGTTTCTCACGTGTTTTATGGATGAAATAACCCCCCTTCAGCTTGTTAGTCCCACCAAGTCAGGGGAGGTGGGGTTGGAGCAGGGCAGGGGATGTCCCACCACATGGAAAAGAGGTTTGTTAATGAACTCTGAGTTACTGATGGGTTACTGGCTATTCTCATGTCATCTGGGAGCCCCCGCCAGCACCATGGGCTCCCACCATTGGTCATTTTGTGCATCGTCATCCTTCCTTCCCTTTCCCTGGACCCTGGGCACAGGCCTGTGTCCTTTTGCTCTTGACAGCTGCCTCCATCCTATTAGCCACTGGGGCCTCCCTCTCTCGGTGGAGACCCCGCACAGGTCCCCATCTGGGGCCCACGGCTTCCCTCTCAGTGTGGGTGGAGACAGGCACAGGGTGTGGCTGCCATGGCCAATAGGGGCACAGTCTCCAGCAAACCCCTTCTGACCTCGTTCTTGTACCTTTTCTGATCACCAGGCCCAAGTTCAATGTCCAGGCAGCTCAGGCAGCTCTGAAGGCCACAGGAAAGCAGCTTCAGCTCTGACACCCAGTGTGCTTACCCCACGTCCCTGCCGGGGAAGGAAACAACAATCCTCCCTCGAGACTTCTACCTGGTCTTTGTTCAGCTAGACCCTCTTCTCCAAAAGAAAGGATACAGCTCCTTTTGTCATTCAAACAGGAGCCAGGGACTACCAGGACCCCTTATCCCAAGGCAGCGTCCCATTTTCCTCATGGGACCAGAAAACTGTCCCAAGGGAGCTCAGCCAGGGAGGCAAGAGGCAGAGGTGCGAGTGCAACAGCATCTACCGCATCCTTGTCAGTCTCTGTAGGCCCAGCTCCCTTTAGCCAGTTATTAAGCACCTTCTGTGTGCTGGGCACTGTACTCAGTGCTCAGAATGTAGCAGTAAAAAGCAGATGAAAATCTCTTTTCATGTCCTGTGGAGCTGACACCGGACAAACAGTATGAGTAAATAAACCAGAGCATGATAGATGGTGAAAAGTTGATAAGAGAAAATAAAAAGTAGGGAAGGGGAGGAAGAAGACCTGGAGAGGTTGGAACGTTAGATTGGGTGGTCGGGGAGGCCTCCACAGGGTGACATCCGCGTCAAAATCTCCTGACAGCATGGAGGAGTCACATGGACACGTGGGAAAACAATATTCCAGTTAGAAGGAATAACCAGCAAAAAAGCCCTGAGGCTAGAATGACAGCAAGGAAAGGAAGTCTCATTAGATGGAGCCCAGGAGAGCATCAGAGGGACTATGGTTTTGCAAAATGGGAGCTACTTAGGGCTCTGAGCAGAGGATGGACAGAATTTGACTTTGGTTTTCACAAGATCCCTCTGGCTGCAGGGCGGGGAGACCATCCACCCTAGGAGACCCCCTTTACCTACAAATGGCTCTGTGACTCTTGGGACTAGGCAATTTTTTTTTTCACCCTCAGTAGAGTGCTGTGGCATTACAGCTCACAGCAGCCTCAAATTCTTGGGCTTAAGCTATTCTCTTGCCTCAGCCTCCCGGTAGCTGGGACTACAGGTGCCCGTCACAATGCCCAGCTATTTTTTTGTTGCACTTTGGCGGGGGCAGGGTTTGAACCCCCCACCCTTGGTATATGGGGCCGGCGTCCTACCCACTGAGCTTGGGAGTGGGCCCTTTAAGTCTGCCCTTCCTCATACTCTCTATCCCCCAAAACAAAAGGCACCTGGAGTGGGAGTAGAGACAAGAGGAATGAGACAGGGCTGGAAAAGTGGGCCATGCTGGGATATGGGGGTCTTGAAGCCAGGCTAAGGAGTTGGGGCTTAATTCAAAGCAAAGGGGGAGTCCTTGATAGTTCCTGAGCAGGGAAATCCCCTAAATGAAGCCATGTTCACATTACTCAGAAATCATGTGAAGGAAGTTGCTGTGGATTGAACATGGACCTACACCAGATGAGGAGGTCTTAACAGCCCTGGGCTCCCTCTGTGTCCCCCGAGATGGGCTGAATAGGGCTGTGTTTTATCCTTACTGGGGTTCTCCAGGGATATGGCTTTGCCTCCCTCAGACTGGGGCTCCCCAGGGATATGGCCTTGTCTCTCTCTCAGATTCAGGGTCCCTGAGGGGGGATACCATCCCTTCCACCTTCATTCTTTTCCTGCAACACCAGGGACAATATCTACCCTTTCCACATCTTGGTAGCCTTCAGGGGGTTGCTGAAGTTAGAAATACTGGCAGGGGCTGGCTCCAGAGTGAGAGACAGACAGACAGATGGACAGGTAGACAATCAGGGGCAGACTGGTGTTTCTGGGCTGGGAAAGGGGCTGTACCTACCTCCCGCCACTGCTTATTCTCCATCCCTTGAGTATACATGACGCACACTGGGAGGAAAGGAGAAAAAATGGGTTAATACCCCAAGCCAGGAAGAAAGTAGAGGACCCAGATAGGGAGGGTCCTGGATGGACAGGCGCCTCAGAGACTCCAGCCTGGGTCACACTGTTGGGGCTGGGGAGGTGTGGAAGGTGTCTCCTGAGGTGGCTGCAGTCTTGATGAGTGGGTCTATTAGTCTGACCCCAAACCTGGCCCTTGAGAGTTCTAGATGCATTAATTGAGAATAGCAGGCTTAGAGACAAGCACATGTCTGGAAGGACAACCTTTGGGAAGAGGTTCAAGGCCATTTGCTTCTAGGCCAGAGCAAGAGTCTAAGGTGTGAGTCAGATAGACAGGTGGGCATGATGGAGGATAGGATGGCAGGGATGTGACGGGGACAGCATAGGAAATCCGCATTGTCCCTTTACAGCCGAAAGCAATCTCATGAGGCCTATTGTTATCATCAGCCCCACTTTACTGATGGGGAAACTGGGGCTCAGAGGAGGCCAAAGACCTGTCCAAGGTCACATACTTGGGTAGTACTGCTGAAGGCTAGAACCCTGGACTCCAAAATGAGTGCTCATCCCACAGACCACAGCAAATCAGAGCTTTTTTTTATTGTTGGGGAATCATTGAGGGTACAAAGAGCCAGGTTACACTGTCTGCATTTGCTGGGTAAAGTCCCTCTAATAATAGTGTCCCCCAATCAGAGCTCTTAAATGCATGGGTTTCCTTGGGACCGCAACCTCTGGCCCCAGACACCCTAACCCCTCCCAACCCTCTCTGTGTTGAGACCAGGAAGGGTCACACCCCAGTTCTGTTTCTCCAGGCACTGCTGGTGAATATTAAACGTGCTTGCCACTCTAGAAACAGAGAACCTGGCACATATTAGTGCTCAGTAAGTGCTCAGGCTGTGATTAGTCACAATACCGTTGCTATTATTGTTAGTGTTTATTGTCAGAGCAGGACTTACATGGGTCAGACTTGGAAAACATATCTTTGTCCAAGAGGTTCCTGAAAGAGGGGGAGAGAAAAAGGGTTAGCAAGGAGGGCAGGAGTCAACCTCAGGAGATTTGGGCTGTTACTGAGAGTAGAGGCTGCCTCTGGCCTGGCCTCAGGCAAAACAGGAAGGGGCTCATTCCCCAAACTTCTATTAAATTCCACTATAAGCCAGGCACTGGGTGGCTCTCTGTCCAAAGTACAGAGTGCCGCCATCTCCATCTGTACAATGGAGGCTCTTCAGCTCCACCTCTCTAAGGTGTAGGGGGCTCCCTCCTACCCACCCACACCGTTGCCACACCCTCGGTAGGCACCCTGGTGCCCTTGATCCCATAGCTGCTCATTTTCAGTCACTCTCAAATCCTAAACTACTTAATGTTTTAGCCCTTTCTAGAAACTCTCCTTTGATTACTTCTCCATCTCTCAAAAATAAAATAAAATAAAATAAAATAAAGCAATCAAAACTTATCCACCCAGTCTCCCATTCTCTCAAGACTCTACTTGCAGCCAGTTTATTCAATGGTCATATCTATGCTAATGGATTAATGAATTATACCTCCCAGGGGAAGCAGACCCATTTGAACAGGGTCCTTTTGTGGTCAAGGCCAGATCCAGCACATGGCCCTGACAATCTGACTGGCATCAAGATGATTAACACGACATTTGAAGACAGAAAGGTCTCTAAACAGGGGCTAAGCCCCTCCTGCCCTGCCTCCGAGCAATAACTGCTCCCATTCATTGGACCCCCAAGATGGGTTAGGCAGAGTGCTAATATTTGCAAATATTAGCTCTCAATTTTCACAATGCTGTACAAGGTTGGTATTGTCCCATCTTACAGATGTGGAAGTGAAGGCTTAGGGACAGCAGGTAGCTTATGTCCTACATATCTGGCATCTCTCATTCCACAGTGCTCTGATGCCATCAGGAAGCAACTTGGAAGCAGCTCAGCCCGGCAGAAACTCAGGCCCAGGCTGGGAAGTGATTCCACCTCTCTGAGCCTTCATCTGTGCAATGGAGCCAGTAGCAGCAGCCTTGAAGGCTGCAGCTGCCCTGCCCATGTCTCCGAGCCTTCATAGTTCCTGCACACACCATGGTTTCCTGCCGCATGTGCTTCCTCCCGGGGGCTTTCTCTGGCAGGCTGACTGCAAGTGCCAGAAAGTTCATGCTCCCAGGGGTAGCACCCAACCAAAGAAGGGCAGAGCTAGGGGAATAACCACCCAGCTGTCTCACTCCTCCAAGGGGACAGCCCTGCCCTGGATAGTCTTCCAGAGGTCCCCATGCAATTGCACCCCAGGGGCCTACCAGGAAACCTGCTCATTAAGGCATCCCATGCTGGCTCAGTGTTCCCTTCCCTGTACCTAAAGGAGCTGCCAGGAGCCCTTCTTGTCGCAGCTACTGACTCCCTACCTTTAATGCCCTAAACTCCTAACTCTCTTCCCAACCAGCTTAGCTTTGTCCCACCTTCCCCTCAGAAGTCCCAAGCGGTCTCGTCACCGTCCCCTCCAATCCCACAACCCTCTCCCACTCATGGTGCCCTGTGCCCCTTGAACCTCTTGCCACCAAGAGGAGAAACAATCAACACTCCAGACATCAGAGCTGGATGAAGCCCTCAGGATAATGTTCCACTCTTTCCTTGATGAACAGGAAACAGAGGTTCAGGGCGGGGCAGGGAGCAGCCATGCCCTATAGCAAGCAATGGTAGAGCCAGCAAGGTCAAAGGAGGCCGTACCCTGAGTCACATCACCAAAGCCTTCAGCAGTGACAGCCTGTCGGGCAATTTGACCGCAGAGTCACCTCCACTGCCCGTGCCCCCACCCTGAGGTGGAGCTGAGGACCAACTGACAGACAAATGCAGCAGCCTGGTGCCAACACATGGTGTCCTTTGATGTGTGAGGAGGCCTCAGATCATGTTCATAAGTCACCCAGCTTCAGTCTCTGAGAAGATTCCCAGCAACGCCCCAGAAAGGGGGTTTCAGACGGACTGCAGAAATCCAGCTCCTGGAGATCTCATCTTCTTCCCTTCCGCAGTCATCTCCACATCCAGGGGCCTCTCCCCAAAGTCAGCCTCCCCCAGGTAGCTTTCCTGGACTCCCTAGTCATGCTAGCCCCCACCAGCCCCTCTACCAGACCAGATCTGCTCCCAGCAGCTGTTACTTTGGAAACCATCTGATAAACCTCCCAGTCCACTGCAATGAGCATTGGATGAACTGATATACTGGGTGATGACGGCAAAAAGCAGGGAGGAGGGGCTACATGGACAATGACACTTTTTTTTTTTTGAGACAGAGTCTCAAGCTGTCACCCTGGGTAGAGTACCATGGTGTCATGGCTCACAGCAACCTCAAACTCTTGGGCTTAAGCAATTCTCTTGCCTTAGCCTCCGAAGTAGCTGGAACTACAGGCACCTGCCAGAACACCTGGCTATTTTTTGGTTGTAGTTTAGGGTGACCAGATTTCAACATTTGTAAAGCGGGACAACATGGGGGGGGGCGAGGGGGGCGGGGACAGGGCAGGGCAGGGCCTGACAACAATGCAAACTTTGATAAGCAGTTCTCAATAATCACTTCTCAACAATTATTTGCTATTATTACAGTTTAACATTATAAAATTAACAAAAATAATATAAAACTCATATTCTGAGGCTCGGCGCC